AGAGGAAGCGGTATTCCAATTCTAGTATGGAGGGGGGGGGGGCGCGAAGGAGAAGTCTACAGTAAAATCTATATCTCTCGTTTTATTCTTTCTAGTCGACAGCGAACTCTGGCCTGCATGTAATCTTATCCGCGTAGTCCACTGTTATTATATGGGCGGAGCCACTCCTACCACAGGCATGCCTTTCTCCTTTGCCACGCTAGAAAGGGGGCACACCAAAAAGGGTGTTTCAAAGGAAATCCCTTTACAACCTGTACGTTCCTTATGGGCTGCAAAGAGATAAAGTAGGAAGCGAGCTGGCGCCGCGTCGAAACCTGCCCTCTGGCACACCTTAGCGTCTACAGCGAGCGGGCTATATGACTGACCATAAAATTCAACTCCTCTTCAGTTGTTCCATGCCAAGGGCTGCACACCTCCTCAGAAGTCTGTGTTTTGTTCTTCATAATCTGTGCTGTTCAGGAACGATGCAGGCTGTTGTGGTGACAGGCTCGTCAAATCAAAGTATTGTTGCTGACAACATCGTTCACGCCGCACTAGCCCACGGTTTCACCATTTTTATACTTGTGGCGGCTCTTGGACATATAAGGTAGGCGGCCCTCTTTTGCGCCCTGCCTTTTATGGCAAGCTTGTCCGACGCTAGATGACATTTTAAATTTGGTGCACTTCGGCTTGGTGGGGAGGGGGTGAATGGCTGAGCTAACCTGAGCTTTTACAGGCAACCTTGTGGAAACTTGTAAATTTCCGTAAAGTGGCTACAGCTGCCACGCCGCAGCTTCATACGAGTTTACAGGTCTCCCCTCTCCCCAAAATGGGACCTGACACTTAGCATGAACTAACAATAGGAGCTAGTCAAAATGCCCCATGTCCTTCCCCTCCCCCCCCCCCCCCCCCTGGGCGAACAGCCCCTACGTTTCGTATTCGCATTTTGCCTTCGTTGAATATGGCTACTATGTTCCTCCCCCAGGAAATTACGCTCTGACTGTACCAGATAATCTATAGCCAGAATATTCCTTTTTCTCCCCGAAAGACTTAATACTGCTCTTACAAGATCTTTGATTCCTTATCGTGCTACTGCACGCTAGCTCCTTAAGTCTAAGATCGCCCGTTGTAAAGAAGTAGTTGCATTGTCATAAACATTGATAAGGGTGAGGTAAGGGCGCACTTTCCTGAGTCAAACCGGGATCTCCTAAAGGCTAGACATCCAGGGCAATTTGATTTTGTTGGAATAGGATGAGAATGAGGTTCACAGTTATACCCAGCGAAATGCATTCTCATAAAAAAAACATTCGGCGCGTTCGGCTTGAGGGAGGGCATTTTGCTCTTGCTAGTTTCTTTTGCTAGCTCCTGTTGAATTTCAGGTCTCACCTTGGTAAGACCTGTGAAGTCCTGTTGAGTGTAAGCAAAGCTCATGTTATTGCACAGCTTTACAGGCGTTTACAGGTCTCCACTTGAGGCTTCGGATGTCATCGATGCAAACTAGCAAAGTGCCCCCACCAAGCCAAACTGTGCTGAACGTTCACACAAAATCGCTTTCGTCGATAAACAATGGACAGGGTGCATTTAAGAGCATTGTTTGAAGAGTATAATCAGTACTTGACCCCTTTACTTCTCGTCAGTACTTCACCTTCCTCTCCTCTCCTTACATGTTCTTGTCAACCAGATGGAAATGTTTCAGTGGTGGTCATTTCAACCCCGCAGTTTCATGGGCAGTAGCGGCAGTCGGCAAAATGCCATTTTATCATGTACCGTTCTACTGGTTCGCGCAGCTGCTTGGGGGGTTCTGCGGGTCGCTGTACTCCGTTGTAAGTTCAAGTTTTACCCTTTCGGACAGTGGCACTTCTAGTCATTTTCAGCTTATAATGACCCAACAACAACTTGACTCTTCGTTTGCTGGTGCCACGCTTCTCAATCCGGATAATAAGTGGTGGGAGGTAAGTTTGAATGTGTTAAACGATGACCAGCAAACTCTCTGAGTGCCGACCTTTCTGGTTTCTGTGCGCTCTGACCTGTCCGAGTTCATGTGAATAATGCGCTAAAGCTTAAAATCTTTTTTAGGGTATGATGAGTGAAGCCGTGGTCACGTACTTCCTCTGCCATACCATACTTTTAACCGCAGCTGATACCGACACAAATATCTTGGCACCACTTGCAATCGGTCTCACACTCAGCATCGACATCCTGTCTACGTAAGCCAATCGATGATCGATCGCGTGTGCAGTAGTTTCCAAGTAACCATTTTTAGTGGATTGATCACTGGAGCGTCAATGAACCCAGCCCGGTCGCTTGGACCAAACATTGTCGGCCAGATATTTCTTGATTCAAATTCAATTCCGGCACATTTTTGGACCTATCACTACATCTATTGGGCTGGTCCGTTCATGGGCGCTGCTGTAGCCGTCGTATTGTACAAGTATGTTTATTTACATAACTTATAAGCATGGAATGTTGTTTTCTCCGCTTGGCAAGGCAAATTCCGCGATAGCAAGAGTGGGCGGAGACGCTCGACAAATGTGTCTCTCTGACTGGCTGTTCTCTTTGACGCATTAGCAGGTGGAGTGTGACAGAAATGGAGGCGAAATGCTCGCTTAAGCGCTTAAGCGTGCACTTTCATACTGCAATATGCCGTCCTTACCATCACTCTATTGCATTGGGATCGCAATTATTTTTTAGGATCTGACCACGGGCATTTTCACTTCCAACACCACCAGAGTCTTGTATTACTGTGGTTTTCTGGGGCCTCTATGATGGGAACTAATTGTACATGGGGCACAAACGACATTTAGTGGTATGGCCCTTCACAATTTTACTCCATACCCCGAAAACGAGGAGGGCGTGGCTGCGTACTTACTTGAACATGGCGTTGGACGCTTTTTCCTCAGGATAGTTCCATTTGAACAACCGTTACTCTCTCAAAACACAATTACAATTGCCGAAAAGGGCAATAGGTACAGCCGCTATCACGTCCAAATGGAGCATGCAGCCACTCCCACTATATCCTCAAGTTATGCAGTGTATGTCTAAGTAACCATTCTCTCTTGTGATTCTGAGTGCGAGTACATGGCGCATTCCGGTGTAGCACCAATTGCACTATTTTTGTTACACCAATTGAAACTCCTTTTAGACTTTTCGAAGCTCGAGAAGATCGACTGATCAGATGATCTACTTACTTTTCGTGCTACATTCAACTAACAAAGCCGTCATCTAAAAAGTTCTGGAATTTTCCTTTTCCACTTTCATTTGCTGTTGACAGCGCCTATGCCATGCACTGTTATTGTTTTGACTAAATAAATATTTATTGTTATCAATTTTGAATAAAGAGCTTATTGCTGGCTAATTTCCTTTAGATGCATCTCGCCGTGTTTGGTGCTGCTTTGGAGTACGCCATGCAAAAGTTTCGGTCCGAAATCGTAGTGGCACTCGTACAATGGATGACAGTAACTGCTGACAATGAGTCCAGCTGCTGCCAATGTGCTCAACTACCCAGTTGCCGTCCACATCTGAATGAAACGAGATGCGGGAAGAGTGAATGGGGAAACGCAGCCCTAAATGGATGGAACACCTCTTTTTGTTCTTCAATATGGGCGATAGCTTCCCTCGTACGAATCATCGCCCCTGTAGGTACGGTAGAGTTGCCTTGGCTGGGGGGGGGTGTGCTTTCGAGGTGTAGTCCCGTCCAGCCCCGTGCACAGTCTTGAATCCATATATACCATTTTCACTTCAAATTCACCCCTTTTCAAACCAAATTCACCCTCACTTTTCACATCTTAACCACACTTATTAGGGCGGGCAACTCATCAACCAGATCACGCCAGACATCACTGCGAGCCCCGCCCCGACGGCCACGCCCACTTGTCAGCGCGGATTCTCAAATCTTGTTTCATAACTTCTGCTTTTGCTGTTTCCCACAAACACTTTGACTGGAAACGAACGGGCATTGAAGGGTTTGGCGATCTAGGCTGACCACGCCCACTTGCTTTTCGCGGACTTTCATATTTTTTCAAAATTTTTGCATTTCCAGCTGCTGCGTGAAGCCCCGCCCACTTTTCAAAAATGGTTCACTCATAGAGTCTTGGCTTGCATGCTAGGGTATTGCTGATCATTCGGAATAAACTTTGCCGGATTTTCTTGTTCCGAGTGACGAACGAGACCCTAGCATGCAAGCCAAGTCTCTATACTGCCGATTTGCACCATTTTGAAAAGTGGGCGGGGCTTCTTCAAAGTGGGCGGAGCCTCTCACAGTGGGCGGGGCTTCACGCAGCAGCCCTAAAATGCAAAAATTTTGAAAAAATATCGAAAGTCCGCGAAAAGCAAGTGGGCGTGGTCAGCCTAGATTGCCAAACCCTTTAGAGAATGGGCGGAGTCGGCCATGTGTCAATGCCCGGTCGTTTCCAGTCAAAGTGTTTGTGGGAAACAGCAAAAGCAGAAGTTATGAAACAAGATTTGAGAATCTATGTCCGCGCTGACAAGTGGGCGTGGCCGTCGGGGCGGGGCTCGCAGTGATGTCTGGCGTGATCTGGTTGATGAGTTGCCCGCCCTAATAAGTGTGGTTAATTTGATGTGAAAAGTGAGGGTGAATTTGGTTTGAAAAGGGGTGAATTTGGTTTGAAAAAGGGTGAATTTAAAGTGAAAATGGTATATATCCTGACAAGCGGATGAGCAGACTCATGGCTATTGTGTCCTCACAAATAGTCTGCTCGTCCTTTCATACATGAACGAGTGGGGTTTGCCAACAGACGCGAAGGTGTCTCCGCCCACATGCCTATCGCGGAATCTAATCTGTCTTGATGTTACTGCTGAATTTCGGCGCTATTCGGCTTGCAGGAGAAGGAGAGGGGGGGGGGAAGGTTAGGAATGTTGCAGTTCCGCTAGCTCCTGCTGATAACACCTCTAAACTACCTCTAAACTCGTAAAGCTGCGAAATTGTACGGGTCAGCCACTACGATACAGGAGCTTACACGTCATAACAGGGTGGTGTGTACATACAAGCTTCACTGAGTACCAAGAGGTACCCCCACCGAGCCCAGCTGTCCCATTTCTTCATCTCCACGTCTTGGAGCACCATCCTTAGGCGTCTTCCATAATTTTTGCACTGCACATTCGGGCACAAGGGTAGTTGGAGGATCATCATTTCCAAATTTTCCGGGCGGCAGCTCTGGTCGTCTGCGTTCCTGCTCTCCCCGCAGTGACCCTTAATTTCTTCAGACGGACAACAACAATCGTCGCCGTGCGGCGCCACCGCGTGCTCCCCCCCCCCCCAACTGCTTGAGAGCTCACAATTTTTCTGTCAGCACTGTTACTACTAAGAGAACATCTTTATTAGCTATCAATGAAGTGAACACGTCGTTAATTATGAGGGATAATATACAAGTGACACAAACAACGGACCGGGTAACACCCCATCAAGGGAACAAGGAAAAAAATGGAAATTTCTGCATTTATTGGGATCTGTACAATGTGGGCCGAAAAAGCGGGTCCAAGGGCTCATTATAGGTACAATCGAAACGCAATTGTCTAAGGCTACAGGTTTCTCTCCCGAGGTTAAGGTTACCATGAAAAGACTAATGGGTAAAAGGGGGAGTCAGTCATTGATTCATTCAAACAGCTCGGTCGCTTTTGGAGAAGAACACCCTGAACAAAGTCATTTCATGATTATCACTTGTATAGTAAATTTATGGGGGCTCATAGCCTTGGGAGGGGAGCGTAAGGATTCCTCGTGCAAAACTGGAAATAACATCATCCGAAAAAAGTACCGTCATTCAATTCGAAGACAGTGGGGGGTAGTGCCAAGGTCACCGGCTGAAGGGCTACGGAGGGGTCGGTCACACCTTACTCCGCCCTTCCACCAACGACTTGGCGTAACCGCTCGGCATCAGCCATCCTGCCTTCTTTAAAGGCTTGGACACAAACCCTCCCATAGAGGGAAGCTCATTTTTGCACAAGGATCCTGTGAGAGCCCCCCCCTCCCCCTCCCGACCCTTCAAGATATTAGCACCCACTTATGCCCTCCCAAGAGCGGAAACAAACCTGTACAGGCCCGCCGCGAACAGTGCACCAAACGCCGGTCCGACGTAGTAGATCCAGTGAAATGACCAGAAATGAGCATCAAGTTTATCGTGCATGAATATCGTGGCCACAATGTTTGGCCCAAACGATCGTGCAGGATTCATCGACGCGCCAGAAATGGCACCACTAAAACAAACAAGGTTCTTCTATATAGATTTTTGAGCTATTATAGTCACAGCGGGTGTACAGGGTCAGTCTGGCGCATGTGGAAGCTACAATTTTGCTCGACCTGCAGACATCTTTGGGCTAAATGCATAAGGAACCATCATGTAGTACTTCCAAAATGGTACCAGAGGTGCTATATAGTGGGGAAAATGGCGAAAAAGCGAAGTGAAACGGTCAAAACCTGCGAAAAGCCTTTGTTCTACACGGCTTAGAAAGCAATTTTGTACGAGTTCCCCGTTGGCATCGTGCCAATAACCGCTACGGTAGGGCACCTAAGCCGCTTCATATCAATCCTTTTGCTTCATATTTTACATCGCGAATGAAGCGATACGAGCATCAGCATCGGTCGGACAATCGTGGGTGGGCGCTGTGGGCGTTCGAGTAGGTATGTTGCAACTTGATAGGACGCCCAGTATAAAAGTATCCTCCTTGGGAAAGGCGCCACGCAGCGCCTGCTCAGGGACACCGAACTCCGTAGGCGCCGCTAGGCGTACTCCGCTAGGCGTATTACTCCTACAGGTTTTGTGGATTTATGTGCCACTTGCCTCTAAACACAACCTGCCCGCGTTCTGGATTCAAGCAGCACCTGTTTAGCGCCGCTACGCTCCCATTTATCTCATGAGCATGCCCCTATATGGACTGTGCAAATGATGAATTCTTGAACGCCAGTTAATTGCGAATTTGGGATCTACTCGGCTTGAAGGGGGCGTTTTGCTTTTTCGCTGGCTTCTTTTGCTAGTTTCTGTCGGAATACACGTCTCACCGTGGTGAGACCTGTAAGCTCATGATACTGGCCCACAAGGCTTCACAGGAGGCACCGGCAGTGGTCAACATGCCCACCCCCTCGACCCATTG